CCACAGCCTGAATCCAGCCTCCAGTAGTGTAAGTCTCAGTAGGTTCTCGACATCAAATAGCAAAGAGAAGTCAGACCAGTTAAGACAGTTTGTAAGAGAATCTACCAGAATCACACTGAGATGGAAACATGAATTAGGAAGGCAGGAGAAGGTAAGGCTGACAGAACAGAAAGCTCATGTGAAAATTAACAGTATTTAAGGGTTTTTTCAAGTTCTAGAAGGGATATATGGGTATTCATGGAACAGTTCTTTCAACTTCTCTATTAGATTGAAACTTTTTGTACTCAAATGATGAAAGCATCAAATAGTAATATCCTCTTTACAGAGAACAGAAAATATCAAGAACAAAATGGGGCTGTCAGTGTAGGGTATCATGCGATCACAATGGCACAGCGACCAAATAAAAGTACAGCCACAGGATAAGAAAAAAACAGTTCAAAGCCACCATACTGTAACTGCTACAGTCTTCACTTAGACCAAATGACTGATGTCTGGGAATTACAGGAAGAAAAAGACAGTGACTCCTGCCAATCACTAGTGTGGTTTCCTTTGGGGAATATTACACTTAATCTTTGTTGTTGTTGTTCAGTGCCGTTATTGAGTTGGTTCTTACTCATAGCAACCCTGTACATGGTTTCCAAGGAGAGCTGCTCCTTTGAGTTTGAACCATCAACCAGGTGTCCATCTCATTAACTCTTGGTGCCACACCAGGAATTCAAAAGGCTATTAAAAATACCCAAATATATCTCTAATTTTCAAACACCTATGGGGTACATTGAATTTAGTGTAATGTTTTCTTTTTACATAAGGGAAGTTATTATACTGCCCATAGAATTTTAAAGTTGACCTAAACCAACATAAAATCTTCATAGTTTACCTACTTAGAAATAACATTATGAAATAATAATTATTATTCCATTAGTTTGGTGAGACTCCAAAATATAGTACCTATTAACATACATAAAAAATATTTAATGAGGGGGGAGTCAAAAAGTGTCTGGGAAAATTCCATTATCTTCTCATTCAATCTCTACATGAACTTTTTGAAGCACTTTTGTAAGCATTAAAATTAACTCTAATCTATGACCTCAATTAATAAACAATAAATGGTTTTGGTTATTTCAAATATTGCCACTAATAAAAGTGTCTTTTCTCAGGATACCTGTTGAGTTACTTGCCATTATGAAACATCAGAAAAGACTTCAGAAGTTTCAGTATAATTCCCTCATTTGAAAACTGAAAGGAGATTTCAGAAGCACAGCAGAGTTTTTTAATACAACAATATAGAGACCACGACAATCTACGTTGCTTTTAAGAAACCATTTCGACTTCTTAAAAGTGAATCACTTAAAATGTAGATGTGGCAGAAAAATTACAGTAATTCATTTTTAATGTCACCATTATTTTAAATGGTCTACTGTATTGGTGTGGTGCTGTAGGATTAAGCACTGGACTGGTTGGTACTTCAACCCACCAGCCAGTCCTAGGAAGCCCTATACAAGGTTTGCTAAGACAACTTAAACTATTCAGTCCTCTTGGTTCTTTATTATTACTTGGCTCAGTTGAAAGACATATACTGTCAAATATTGATAATAGGATTTTGGGTAAGATAAAGTTCATGGAAATGGAATTAACAGATAAAAAATATAAAAGTTCACTGAATTGACGTTGTGTTCTTTCTGGGAAACAAGACAAAACTGACATTCATGTTGTACCATAAAGGCATTGTTTACAAATGCCACAGAACAGTTTAAGTCAAATCAAGAGTATGTTTTCCTTTAGGAATCTTTGTTGTTGTTGTTGTTAAGTGCCGTCGAGTCGGTTCCAACCCATAGCGACCCTGTACAGGGTTTCCGAGGGTGTAAATCTTTACGGGAGTAGAAAGCCTCATCTTTCTCCTGCGGAGCGGCTGGTAGTTTCAAACCGCTGACCTTAAGGTTTGCAGCCCGATTCATAACCACTACGCTACCAGAGCTCCTTAGGAATCTTTAGGATTAATTAATCTAATTAATCTTTGTTGTTATGTGCTGTAGAGTCAGTTACGACTCACAGTGAACCTGTACAGGGTTCCCGAGACTATAAATTTTTATGGGAGCAGAAAGCCTCATCTTTCTCCTGCATAACATCTGGTAGTTTCGAACTGCTGACTGGAGATTAGCAGCCTGATTCGTAACCACTACGCTAACTGTAATTTTTGTGTCAGGATTTTTAGGTCACTGAATAAAAACCATCAACACCTTCAGTTTTCTAAGTCATAGACGAGAATCCAACCAAAGGAAATGAGAACCTTAAAAACAAACATGTCTAAATATTCAATTTTCTTTGTAATTATAAGAATGGAGTCCTGGTGTGGCACTGTAGGTTAATATGTTGGACTGCAAAGGCAGTTTGAATCACAAGGTGGGTAGTTCAAGATCACCAGCTGCTTACACGATTGCTATGGGTCGGAACTGACTCAGCAGCACTTCACAACAAAAATAAAGATAAAACCCCAAATCCTAACTTTAGTCATAGAAGTGATTTAAAAACAGGAAAAATTTATATACATTAGCATATCATTTGCAATTGTGTTAATAAAATGTCTACTTTATAAAATATCATAACCAAAAAGTAAGGCAGAATATAGTATACAGAAGACACAACATATTAACACCAATGAGATTGGTAAATTTGGTCTTGGTGAGTAAGCAGTTGGGCATTAAGTAAAGAGGAGCAATAAAGAAAGTTCATTAGAGCCCTCTATACAATTGGGGAGATGGACTGCTCAACAATAGCCATAAACACAAAACAACAACAAAACACATCAAAGACCTCAGTTCTGTGCTGATAAATATTTTATACTTTTCTGCAAAGCTATAAATCTGACAACAGCCAGTTCCCCCAAATCTCCCAACTCCGCACAGCCAAAGCAAACACAGACCTTGCCCTATGCCCAGAGGACTACTTCAACTCCAGCATTTGCTTTGTCTTATTGAAACCTGGAACTCTGTTTCACCAGCATAATTTTCCTTTAATGCCAAAAGCTGCTATCAATCATAACCAGTGAAGGCAATGGATGCCATTATGCCTTCCAAACTACCTCTTCCAGTTACAATGAAGCTACACTATTTTCTCTGTACTCCAAATTCTTTTTCCTTTTCTCTGCTATCTTCCATTCTTGGGAATATGAAATCCATCAGGAACCAGACTTCCTAAACTGGGAAGAAGTTGGTACGTTATACTTATTTTCTAGCATTGCATATAATCTCAATCCTTAGCTGACCCACACGTACTAAGTGAGAATTATGGTACAAAATGCTAAAATGGGAAAGGCACAGGGGACAGGAGAAGACATCCTCAAGCTATTCAGAGTTGGAAAAAATGCATCTGCACACTTAAAGATGGAACCAAGAATCCAAAAAGAAAAGAAATATACCGGGATTGAAATGATTCTTTTGAACACAACATGCGTATGAACTATCACTGAGGGCTGGGTGACCAGAGGTAGGGCTTTAAGGTGGACAAATTCAACCATGAAGTGAAGAGTGAAGGAATGAGATGCTTCATCTTCACAAAGGAGCCAACAGTCAAAGCATCAACTATAAAACGTGGAAAATCTCCATTTTACTAATATTTGTACATTAAAAAACTTTGGTCTTGAATAAAATCTAATAATAAAACTGGAAAGTATTACTGTTGTGGCTTGCTATTGTTAAATGCCGTCAAGTCAGTTCCGACTCAACAGCGATCCTGTATAGAATTTCTGAGGAGTAGCTGGTGAGTTGGAACCACTTGTATTATGGTCAACAGTCCAGTGTTTATCTTACAGTGCCACACCAGGACTTTAAAAACACTAATTGCCATTAATATTCATGAAGAAGAAACATCTTTTTTTTTTTTTTAATGAAGAAAGCATGCAAAATATAAACTACTTACTCTCCTAGACTTCGGTCACAAAAGGTAAATGCATTTGGAAGAAAAACAACAATATTCAGTTATAGTATAAGAACTTACAGCATATTAGAGCATTCCAACCTGCCAAAAGAGATTTTTATACTTTGCTAAATGGTTTAGTTATTTTAAAAAAATCCATCAGATATACATTTAGACACATTCCTTTGATAAGGAGGTAGATATGTTTTAATATTCATATTATAATACCCACACTGCAACAACATATCATAAAATAACCTAAAAAAACCATAATGTTTTTTAACTGAGCCCAGAAAACAAATTATCACTACTGATGTGACACATGCAGTTGCTTTTGTTAAGTGCCACTGAGTTGGTTCCAACTCATAGCAACCCTGTACAGGATTTCTAAGAGCGGCTGGTGGGTCAAAATTGCCAACCTTGTGGTTGCTTGCCCTATAGCACCACAGTGGGATTCCGTTAGCAAACAGAAAATTCATTAAGTGAAACAGATGACGCAAAACCTCAAAACCCCCCAACCCCACCAAAAAAAAAAAAACAAAAAACCACTAAGGTTTTCTGACCCATCAGAAAGTATCTGTAAAAAAACCTAAGCCCACACACATCTTATAGAACACACGACCTCAGGGATGGAAGAGATCCAAAGGTTACTTGCTACAAACATGCCAAGAGTTTACATATATCTACATGTCAGGAAACCAAAAAGTTTCAGAAACAAAATGACATAAATAACAAGTGCTCCACATGGTGGAAACACTAAGAGCTACCTATTTTTATGCAAATAGTACACAGTTGTTGCTTTTTGGGGACACTGTGTAACCTCCTTGCATGTTTGTTTTCTGTGAGTGTTATATGTGTGAACATGCGATTTTTGTGGGCATATTATATGTGAAAATCCAGTAATCATCTAGCAATTGATAGAGCAAAAAGATTTATACAATGCTTCCCCCAGGAAATAGAAATATTTTAAAAGATGATTTTCTAAAGCTGTGAACAGCTAGAAGATACAGATTTTAGAGTCTTTCATCTGAACATGTTCTGAGATATAGGTGTACAATAAAGAATCTTTCATAGTTAAATCCCCTCACCTCTTTCTGTTCAACTTGCAATGCTGATTTCAAAATATCTCGAAGCTGTATCAACTGCCTTCTTTCTTCATCTTGGGCCTGTTTGATCTTGTAAGAAAACACAAGACAAGTTAAGAGACTGAGCTGACAGTGAAATGCTGGAATTCACAGGGCACTTCCACAACATAAATGCAACAAATGACTCCTTCACCAATTTAAACCTTCCCTCTAATCAAGATAACTTAAGAATGGGAACTCCACCACCATGCTGTGCATGGCACTAGAGGGCTATTAGTTTCTGGGTCATACAACATGCAGACACAAGATTAAGTGGCAGAAACATTTAAATGAAAATGTTTGTGACTTCAACACCAAGGTGGGAGGGAAGCTACATACTGTGTGAAGATCTGTTGAAAGAGTTTCAATGGAAGGTTTGAGGCTTTCAACTGCTTTCAGTCCATCCTGGAAAAAACTAGGGGGATAAAAAGAAGAAACAGATTGTGTTTCATGAAAGAGGAAAAAAATTTTTTTGTTAAATGAGGAAAGCAAAACAAAAAAACTTCTTCAAAAGGAAAGTGATCATCAGAGTGGTTATATAATTCCTAGGGGAAAAGACAATATAAGCAAAATGTTAAAATACCAGGCAAACCACGAGTAAAGTGACACTCAAAGTAAGGAGAAATGAACAGAAAAGCCACTGACTGCAGTACATTTAAGTATTTGTGATTTTTAATGATCCACATAAAAAGAAATGCAGGAATTTTTAAAATGTGAAGCAGGATTCTATTGCTGAGTGGCTTGCAGCAAGGTTTTGGCTCAGTGGTCTCCTGCACCTCCAAAGGGAGGAGTCTGAGGCCAGAGGGGACAAGGGAGTGAAAATAGGGAGTGAGACACTAAGGGATGTCTTTGACAGGCGGGTAACTGAGTAGAGTAAGAAAGAATGCAGGAAAAAACTGAGCAATTATGATGTACAGGAATGGCAATGCTCTGTCTACAGAGTAGGAAAATGTGGTTTAAGAGCTTGAGATCAAATATCAAAAGGTATTCTTTTTTTACCCCCTTAAGCTCAGAACTCAATGTTTGTGAACTCATTTATAACAAGTGATTCAGGAAATACAGCTGGCAACAGAAGCTAGACATGTTTTTGCACCGCATCAGTAGGCAGGCCCGTGTTCAATACCACCTCTGAAGTGTGCTATGCGTTACTCTTGAGGAGGAATGAAGAAAGGCTTCCCATTGCACTGAGAAAGTTCAAATTTTGTAACATGGCCTATAATGCCAAGTGATGTGGCCCATGAATAAGGCTCTAGCCTCCCTCCACACATCTGTCCCCTTCATTCACTTCATTCATTATGTTCTAGACACTGTGGCCTTGTCTCTGTTATCTGCTAAATTATTCTTGCATCAAGTCCTTTGCATGTAGTGTTAAATATCACCTCCTAGTGAAGCCTCTCATGACTCCTATTTTAAATGAGGTATTCGTGTTACATTCTTTCAAAATCACTGGATTATTTTTGTTTCAAAACACTCAGACAAAGTACAACTATGTATTCATTAGTGAGATTATTTACAATCTAATTCCCCCAACACATGTCAAATTCCACAGGGTAAGGATAATGTATACACAAAGTCTGGCATACTTTCAGCACATAATATTTGTTGATGAAGAAATCAATTACTGAAGGAAGGAAGGAGAGTTACCAACTTCTGCCAGTTTACTGGGTGCCAAAAATCTTCAAAAATAACCTGGGTTTCTTTCACAGGTGTTCATAGTGAGGGGATGTTTCTTTTTCCTTTTTTTCTAAACTAAGCAAAAGTATGGGACTTCCCCACACCAAGCATGCCATAACCAGGTGAAGGTGGGGAAACAAAGTAGTGTGGTACTCAATATAACAAGGAGGAGGTAAGGGGACAATATGTACACGCTAAGGGTAGGGGTTAAGAACAATTACTAGCTACTTATTAGGAATCAGAGTCTGGGCCATTAGAATTTTCTTACCTTCGTATAAGCATAATATGTTATATTGTAATTCCTACAAGGCTGCCTAACTTTTTTCTGAATATATATGCTATGCTCTGGTTATATTTATCCATGTGTTTCCACTGTTAAACTAGAATCTCCACAGAAATTTTACCTCTGTGCCTTCCACTTCCAGTACAGTGGAAAGTACACAGAACACAACAGGTAATGGTTCTAAATTGAAAAGGAAATTTAAACTCACAATGACAGAGATGCAAGCATGAGAAGCTAAACTTTTTCCCTCTTGTCATGAATTCTTTTGATTCTTCTGGTTAGCGAAAAAGTAGAAGAGATAAGTCCTAGGATGTTGTTGATGCTAGCAGGGGTCATGGTGAATCCAACCATGTGTCCCCATGTGTGCAGAGTAGAACTGCTCCAAACGGTTTTCAAGGCTGTGAAAGCAGATTGCCAGGCACGCCTGATAAAGAGCCTCTGGGTGGGTTCAAACCACCAACATTTCTTACAGTTGATCATTTAACCATGTGTCCATCCAGAGAAGCAGAGTTCTTGGATGCTGTGATGTTATTAGATACTGTTGAGTTGATCTTGACTTTAAGAATCTTTGCCACCTGGCAACTCTCCTCCCTGTAGGGGAGTCAAGTGCTCAGATGATGTCTCTTGTCACAGATATAATTCCTAGAGTGACATTGGACAGTGTGCTTGAAATAATATAATAAACTTCAGATTATATGTTTTTAACAGCCTAACCCTATATCTTGATTATCACCTAGAAAACATCCTCCCCCTAATTTTCAAAATTCCTCTTTCTGTTTCCTCCTTATGAAGGCATGTTTTTTTTTTTTGGCT